GTGTGCCTAACCTACACTCCACCTATTACACAGGAGAGTTTTACAAGTGGCCTGTACGAGACAGGATGGTTTTTACGGCTGTTACTTGTTACCTCCGTGCCAGTGGATCGCTCGCCAATTAAAATGAAATGGCCATTGTGAGGGCTCAGTTTAAACACTGGTCTGTTTTTGTGCGGGAGGTAATAGCTAAGCTGTGACCAGCTGGGTGCTATACGAATATTCCAGCTGGAAAGATGGTTGTCAAGGCCATTCGTAGTATACCTTGTGCTACTCTTCAGCAGCAGCTTAAAACTGACAGCAAGTTTCTTTTTCTCTAGAAACGAGTAGTGCAAGGAAAAGAGCCACCTCATCTGATGAGTATGTTTGGTGGAAAGCCCTTGATTGTTTACAAGGGTGGAACCTCTAGGGAAGGAGGCCAGACAGCACCTGCAGAAACGCGGCTGTTCCAGGTCCGATCCAGCACCTCGGGAGCTACCAGAGCAGTAGAGGTATGTGGAAGGGGAGTCAACTTCCGTGTTGTATGCGTAGGCTGTGATGGGAACATGATCCCTCCGAACAGAACGAGGGCCAAACTGAGCTTTCTGATGTAAACTGAAACACACTTTGAAAACTTTACCAACTGTTAAAAGATTCCTCTTTTCCCGTGGATGAGTAGTGATAATCACTATTTTCTAATTAGTTTATAAATATCACCTTGAATACATTTAAGCTATTTTCTCTTAAGTCCCCACTCAATGCTGCACCCTGCATATTATGATGCTTCTCACACTGTTGAAAACCATTAGGATCTGGCCATTGTGACTTGTTCCAAGCCTGCCTGACAACAGTGCTGAAGACAGAAAGTGCTAAGTACCCTATATGCAAACAGAACTTGTGCCAGGACATGGTTAAAAGAGCCCTACTCCTTTGAAAGAAAATGCACACAAACCCCGCCCCGTACAACAAAAGAGAGACTAAATCCTAGTCAGTGGCTACAGGTGAGGCAAGAGCACTGTCTTATGTCTGCAGCAACTTCCCGAGTTTCTAGCTTCAAGATGGCATGTCCTTGTTGACATAGAGGAAGTTACGTTAATGATTCATCAGCCTCAGCAGCAGGGCTGCTCGGTCTCCCCAGCGAGTTCTTAGATCTCCTGTCATAACCATAAAGACTGGCAAAAGGACAGATCCGAGCATTCTTGCCGTACGTCGTATGTATCTGTAGGTTACACACCGAAACACACATTTATTTACTCTTCTCATACGATTTAAGTCTAACTCGTCACTTGGATACAGGCAAATATACAACGTATCTCACAACCTTACATGCTTGTATGGAATATCTTGTTTGCAGTTTATTCAACGATAGGTACTGGTTTTTATTTTGAAATAATGGGCTCTGTGTAGAGGACGATTACATCCGACACGTGCAATGTTCTTTTTTTTCAGCTGGATCCTACTGCCAGTCAGCTGAACTCCAATGACGCCTTTGTCCTGAAAACTCCCTCTGCGGCTTACCTTTGGGTTGGCCAAGGAGCCAGCAATGCTGAGAAATCGGGAGCACAAGAGCTGCTGAAGACGCTGGGAGCTCGCCCAGTACAGGTTTCTGAGGGCAGAGAGCCAGGTGAGGGAGGCACGATGGAGTCCGAGATCATTTCTGTGTAGCTGCATGTTCTCAGTAATTATTTAAGGGATATTTTCTTTTGCCTCTCAGAACAACGAAACGTGGACATAGGCACAGAGGGGCTTCTCCAAAGTATCTTCATTATGTTTAACAGCGCACTCATGTTTGTAGGCCTTTGGGACTTTCTGACATAGAAGAGTGCTTCAAGTCCTACCCAAACCATACTGCTGCTGTGATTTCCACGAACAGTTGAAGCATCAGTATCTCCTTCTCTTTTTCAGATAATTTCTGGGCAGCTTTGGGTGGAAAAGCTCCTTACCGTACCTCTCCCCGGCTGAAGGACAAGAAGATGGATGCTCACCCCCCTCGTCTTTTTGCATGCTCCAACAAGAGTGGACGCTTTACTGTGAGTATCTAAGAAGATATGTCAATTAATTCAGCATCCATCTGACAAAGCTGGGAGAAACGCAGTCCCAGTCTGCTCTGAGCCAACCAGCAGGCTGTTACACCTTCTCTTCCTTTGCGGTGCTGCCTCCAGCAGGAAAGCATCGGCACCGTTTTTCTGCAGAGACAGCAGCTCGTTCTATTGCGCTGTTGCATCAGCACAGCAACTTTCTGAAGCACCAAACTGGTCCTGCCCTGGTTAACAACCAGCATTCAGACTCCTCAAATTTTAACTCCTGAATCTTTCAAGTAAAAAGCAGCAGCATTACAAGCCTCAGGCGTGAGTGAAAGACAGCTTCTCTAGGTAGACAGAGGCTGATTTTGTGTTCTGTGGTCTAAGAACATGTCTGTGACGGAGCCTGAGTTGCATGGTGAAATACCATGCCAGTGTCTAACTTAATGCATCTCACCGACAAGAGGTGAAACTAGAACCTCTCTGAACTGGATTTCTCCTGTAAAGGTAAAATGGCGCTTGAAGTATGTGCTCATCTTTTAACCTTATGTTTTCCAGATTGAAGAAGTTCCTGGAGATCTGACTCAGGATGACCTTGCTACAGATGATGTTATGCTCCTTGACACATGGGATCAGGTATGTCACGTTTACCTAGTGAAGAAGGAAGCAAAGAATAGGCACAAATTGGCTCTAGGTTGAGACCCAAATTGCAAGGGCTGGAAGAGCTGTTGTATTATGGAGTCCTTTCATCTTCAGGCCTGAGAACAAATCACCTCACTAGTGACGTTGAAGGGAACTTACACCCCGACCTTGAGAAAAGAGTTGGCGTCCTGCCGTCTCTTTGGTTAGCTTAAGGGCTGAAGAAAACAGGCTGTTGTGTATTGTACGTACTCCCCCAGCCTGTAAACTTCTCGAGGGCAGCACCCTTGTCCCGGCTGGAGAGGGCTGGGAACCCTTGTTAGGATCCAGCGGTTTACGACACTGACACATTTCCTGTTATTTTTCAGTAACAGACTGTGCATAAATCAGCCAAAAGGCAACTTAAGAGATGAATTTTGTATGTTTTATGTAAAAATGTTCAAACATCTGCTACTTTTTCCTGAAGTTAAGCTAGTGTATAATTTGTTCATGTATCTAGAATTTATGTAGATAAAACGCACTCAAAAAGCTTCTCGTTATCTACCAATAGCTTTAGTCACATAGGCCAATGCAGACACACCAGCTCGAGTGTGGTGGTGTTCCGCGTCACACTCTGTTCGGTGAGACTTTGTCTAAATTATCCTTGCTTTCATAAAGAGATTGGTTGTTGCCAAAATAATGCATATGGGTTTTTTTTATCTTTAGGTCTTTGTATGGATTGGGAAAGATGCCCAAGAAGAAGAAAAGACTGAGGCTTTGAAATCTGGTAATGTCACACTTTCCTCTCTGAACCGTTTCTTATTTTCCCACTATCCGATCATAAGGCAGGCGGTTTAATATACTGAGAAACATACCTTAATCCCAACATAAAAGTCCATGTTGCGATCAAAGAGATCACATCTCTCAAGCAAGGAGGATCCCCAAGACCAGCATGGAGAGGTGTAGGCATCGGACACACTGTGCTCAACCCCTAACACTGAAAAAGTATCCTCGTGTGGGTAAGCGGGCGTAGCTGCCGCTGTATGACAGCGTTTTATAATCCTAATGTCAGTTTTCTACAAACAAATGCCGGTCTTCTGACAGGTGTAGATAAAACCAGAGAGTGAAAACTCTGGTGGGTTTTTTTCTTTTGTTTAAATGAACAACCTGAAATTGTATCTCCAGCATCCATTTAGCTACAATTAAGCTGTTCCAGCCCTTGCTCCGTGAGATTTGTACTCTCTGAGATTTCCTTCTACTTGTGTGTTTTCAGCTAAACGGTACATTGAAACGGATCCGGCCAGCCGCGATAAGAGAACTCCAGTCACAGTTGTTAAGCAAGGGTTTGAGCCGCCAACCTTCTCCGGCTGGTTCCTGGGCTGGGATGATGACTACTGGTCTGTTGATCCTCTACAGAGAGCAATGGCAGATGTGGATGTCTGAGTAACAAGGTTTCTTTCTTTTTTTAAAACGGAGCAAGTTTAGTGCCTTCAATGCCTTCAAGAGCCACTTCCTCCTGCAGGATGCATGTTAACAAGGCAATGATGTTAATAGCCAATTCCCTGTGCAATAATGACTGAAAACAATCATGACCAGTCATTGACCCTACTCCTTGCTTTGATTATATTTAATACAATAAAGCTTGTGTGGAATATGTGAAGAATAGAAATGGTAGGGTTTGTTACTAAGAAGAAAACATTAAACAGAACCTGTAGATCCCACATTTCAACTTGCTTGAAACAAATACATCTTAGAAAACTAAACCTTCTTTGTGCCATCTTTTGCACGTGCACTTTTTACTACGTGGTTACAGAAATGATTTTTGGGGTTTGGGGATTGTTTTGCTTTCCCCTCCCCAGAATTATCGGCATTTAAGACCCTGACAAATTAACAGTATGCTACTTTCTCAGAAAGTTACTCATTAGTAAACAGCATGTTTTTGGATTCGGGCTGAGAGCAAAAAGTATGCTCCTGGTGTCAACAAGAATTCACAGGGGTGGCCATCTACAGCAGCAACAGTGGGAGTTACAGATTCACTCATCGTCCCCAAGGACTAACCTCAAGCTGTGCAGTTACACCATTTCCCACTTCAAGTGCGTGAGCGCAGTAACGCTAATTATTACATCTTTGTTAACCATATTTCTCCTAGCAAAGTCAAGCTCAGCTTGCATTAACTGAAATACTGACAAACACGTGCAGATGGGGATGTTGGGTTTATGATGCAGCGGGGGGGAAAAAAAAAGTTCACAGCAAACAGGCAGAAAAGAAACAGCGCCAATCGGCTCAAGCCCTTACAGCGCTTAGGCATCTTTTCCTGACAGTGACAAAGGCCCAGCCAAGCAGACCTTGCCCTTACTAAAATACCTGTCAACACCAAACTGATAAAAAACAAGTTAGGAACTTTATGCTGGCCAGTGTGAGAAGGGCACTTATATCATTGATCTTGGCTTTTCGTTTTCAGTGCCACCTCCCAGTAATTAAAGACCAGATGCCAAACTCGGTGATGGTGGTGGCCTGAAGAGCCTCTCCCCCACACAGACTCTAGTTCTTCTCCTTTTAATCTGTAACTACATCTGCTGAACAGGTACAAAATATGAATACAGTTTAACAGACTTACAGCTCAAGACTACATGAACTGAAGATTACACGCTTTTGGTATTAAGTATAAGCCCTTAGTGTCACAACAAATACTACAGGCCTGCTCAGCATCAACAGGTAAATCACTAATTTGTTAGAACAGATATATGAACAGTTAGAGAATCTTCGGTTAAACGTCACGACCCCCCACTAATTACAGAGATCTTACTTCCTAGGGAAGCCGGTTTTAGACCTGGATAAAATGCAGAAGTCGGTACTTTGGCTTTTTAACATAATTTTTAAGAGAGACGGATAAAGGCAGACCCAACAACTCTTCAGTGCTTTAAAGAAGCATAAACCTATCCAGGCATACCACCGCAACAACAGAACAGCCCATCAGTGACTGCAAGCGTATTGTATCCGTAACTACGGCATGTTTATGCCATTTCTGTGTGGCAGAACAGAGATGGGAAGTTCCACTTCAGTAACGTGGCTAACAACTGTTTCTCATGAATGGGGGACTATTTTAGGGAGTACGAGCCTGATTTTGAGAAGTACCCAGTACAGTATTCTCACTCACTCCTGTATCAGCTTCCATTACTTTTCCTTGTGTAAGCTAGAGAACCAATCCACAGGCCAGCAATCAGATGACTTCATCTCATAGAGCTACGCTCCCACGAGAATACAGTTAGGGCTGTTCCACTTCCTTTGCAGGGCTGCAGACCCATTTATTAAAAGGAATACTTCTCTTTCCAAATATTGGATCATCTCATCTTCACCACAAATGGTTTTATATGCTATTTGAAAATGGGAGGTTATATATTAAAGGTGTCCCCATCCAGGATAGTATGGATACACGCTTATTTAAGATCACAATCTGTTTGTACTCATTTTGAGAGGTTTTCAATTTCAAATATTTTGATTGTCCATCTTCACAAACATTACATGTAAGTTTTATAACAAACAGTATAACAAAAGAGGTTCCTCAGCAAATCCACTTCGTTAGCACCGCCATAAGCTATAACACACAGGGAATTCAGCGTTGCAAACATTCGCTGTAGCAAAAAAAAAAGAAAACCCACCCCAAACTCTCTCCTCCAACTCTACCTAGCGATCTGCACCTATGATGCCCTGCAGCATGTTTATGGGCAATGGGAAGACGATGGTGGAGTTCTTTTCCGCAGCGATGGTAGTCAAGGTCTGCAAATAACGAAGCTGAAGAGCAGCAGGGGACTCCGTAATAACCATGGATGCCTCTTTCAGGGCCCTGGAAGCGTTCATTTCACCCTCAGCTGCAATTACCTGGGGAAGCAAAATGAGTGAAATATTGCATTCATTCTGGCACAGTAATAAACCAGAAATCTGTAGGATGTCTTCAGCCTTAAGCCATACCAAAGACACTGCTCATCGCTTTGATCAAGTGACCTCCCCTTACCATGTTCTTTCACCGGTTCTGCCTTTTCTCTCGCTCGGACATAAGCTACTCCTGTCTGCTTTCAAGGCCTGTGTGCCTGTTTTCCTCCCGTTCAGCATCAGGATGCCGGATCACAAAAGCGGGCACCGTGTCTTCAAAAGGCAACGGGTGCATTTGTTCCATTTTCAAAAGCTTCCTTTGTGCTTCTTTCAGCACCGCCTCTCAAAAACAGAAGGCACTCCCCCATATATCTGAAAACACGTTTTACTTGAAGCTGTATTTTTTTTGTCTCTACAAGGGCTTGACAAGTGAATGGCATACTGGGGAAATACCTTTTTATTCCCTCATTCTTTTTAATTATGAGCTCATTAGGGACAGATTTGTGGTCATGCATTTCTTTACAAGCAACGCCCTTCTGCATTGGGACAATATAAATATTTTTCCGAGTTTCTGTAAAGGACGGCTGGATTGGAGGATGGCACTGTTTTAACAGGTAAGTTATTGGTGAGGCAATTTACGTGCGTGTCAGCACAGGCAAATGCATATTCCCCTACAGAGTTCTATTGCAAGGGCACAATATTCCTTTAAACGTCAGAATAAATAATAATAAAAGAATAATCACAAAGTAATTAAGCTTCAAAAAAAAAAAGCAGACGTTAATACTTGGAGCACTAATGTAGGCTTAAAGATCTTTTCCTAGGTGCAGCACCAACTTCACATTCAATAACTGCTAGCCCCGAAGTCTAATGAAATTCAGTTTAGCATTTATTTCCCATGAAAATAAAAACCAAATTTTTTAATTAGAACCTAAAGACAGGTTAAAGTTAATGAAACTCCACATTAATGGCGGATATGAAAATCAGTCATATATATGTGCATAAAAATCACTCACACGTGTGTGCGCACGCAAGATGAACACCGTAAGACTGGATGTAATTTCCACAGCATTAGATGAACTCCAGTAAACTTCCCTTTGCCAAGACAAGTTTTTAGTATTTAGAATGCAAGTTCCATTTTTCTAGGAGCAGGCAGCTCAACAGACCACTCACATCTACCAGAAACCCTCATCTATCAGCTTAGTCTACCAAAGAAGTTTTTTTTCAGACAGCTAGGGGTTTTGCTTGCTTGTTTTTTAAAAAACAGAATCCACGGTTGCATCTATGGAGGTCAAAATAAGTTTTCGAGACAGGATTAAGAAACCACCAGAGGAGACCAATGGCAGGGCACAGAACACTAAGGGAGAAAGCCAACTTGCCTAGTCCTAGGGAAGGACAGCTCTAACTGCCCCTCAGCATTTTTACTCCAAACTGCAATATTTAGTATCCCCTTCTCCCACCTCAGAAGGGAAGAAGATGTCATGACCAAACGGCTCACTGGTCAGCTTAAGGGTGACAAAACTAAGTATTAAGCTGTTTTATTTCTCATATGAAGTAACAAACAGAAAACAAAGGACTTGCCTTAAATCAGGGCTAGTCAGGAGAAAGCTGGAAGTAAGTTTGGCTTCTAATTCACCACAGGCTCCAGCAAAAAATTGTTCTGTTTATGATTTGTTCTTGGAGCGTGGTAAAAAAATTGAGATTCTGCATTTTCGAAGGAAATCTCACCTGCATGATCCAAGATGAAATAGAGCAAGCACCCAGACACAAATCCACAAAAATCCTGCCCTGCACTCCTATTTGCCACAACACAATCTGGCTGAGAATCTTCATCCTCTACATCACCACACTAAATTATTCATGAAGAAAAAAACCAATTTAATATAAATCTAAATGCACATGTTGATGTTATTACCTTAGCTCTCGCCTCCCGGGCAGCTTCAGCTTCTGCAGCCATTGCTCTCTGCAGCTGGACAGGTAGCTTCACATCCTTGATCTCCACACGTTCCACCTTAATGCCCCAATCATCTGTTGCCTCATCAAGCGTGGCCTATACAAGGCAGGACAATTAAGTTAAGCCAGCTACCTGGCTGCAAACAAATGTCCAAATCTGAATGACCAATAAACCAAATGAATTATCTTACAACTCTTGGACTTTAAGGGCTTTTGTATTTATATTATGATTTGGTAATTATAAAAGCATAACTGTTGTAAACTAACAAAAAACCTCCAGAGCTCAATTAATATATTGAAGGAATTCTGGCATAATTTCCTTCAACAGCAGAGTGCTGACAGACTGATCCAGGGAAGCCCTCCTCTCCTGTATCCATCATTCCCGCTTGCTAGCCCCACTGGCCCGTTAGTGTTTTAGTCGCTTGTTTTTATTACACAGAATGCCATCCCAAGAGCTCTTGATAGGGTTTTGCCTAAAGCTCCAAATCACAACTTGGCTTATCGCTTGGAAGGTAAAATAAATCCTGACCTGGAAGTTATCCACGGATTGCTGCTTAACTGATTGTTTGATGGTTTGCTTAGGTGAAGCTGCTCATACCTGCATGCTGTGTGCAATTTCTTCACGATCGGAGAGAATCTGAGAAAGGTTTTTGGTCCCCAGAACATTCCTCAAAGTAGTCTGTGCTAAAAGACGGGTGGCTGAGTCAGCATTTGTGATATTTGCTACAGCGAGGGTGGCATTCTGAACTCTGTAATAAACCACTCCGTCTACATTAACTGTCACAGAGTCCTTGGTCAAGATCTAAAAAGCAATGGGGAAAGCATATAATAATTAAGGATGTATTTATTGACTATGATGATAATTACATATCTGTTTTACTAGACAAACTCCTAGTTCTTCCAGGATAAAGCAACCATCTTGAAAACAAAAGGTCTTATACATGTATGCTGCACATGAACACGTCTACATAGAGGTGCACAAATGTTCCAGTATAGCTCTGCGAAGCTAAGACTAAGTATGGGATTAGAACACTTCTCACTGAAAAATAAATTCTGTTAGCTTTGCCATAATGTTATTTCTAACTCACTTCTTCAAATTCACAGAGGGATCTGCAATTCATACAAGTGACAGAAAAAAACCATCAGAAATAATTTACACCAAAATACATATGCTCTTTCACCTGGGAAACTTTAACCTGTTATTCTGAAACTAGCATGTCATAAC